CCGCACAGTGAGGAATAAAAGATACGACCGCACAGTGAAGGATAGAAGATACGACCGCACCGCGAAGACTTTAAGATACCACCGCACAGTGAGGAATAAAAGATACGACCGCACAGTGAAGACTTTAAGATACGACCGCACAGTGAAGACTTTAAGATACGACCGCACAGCGGAGAATGAAAGTGACGACCGCACAGTGAAGAATAAAAGATACGCTCTGACCTTGATTGTGTCTCTTCCATCCTCCTGTAATAACCTAATAGCATATCTCACATACGGTGTGAGTCGACCCACGGCGGTGACTCTAACCTAAGATACGCAAAGATTCAAAACAGGTCCAAAAGCGACCAAGATATGCTCACCTCGCCATCCTCAGGTGTCGAAGATTCCACTGCCATTTTCACTGCAATGCTAAAAAACTATGAACAGGGAATTATCGGGCGAGCGACTTTTGCAACGAACCACTCCACCAACACAATACCAAAAGCTGGCTGGAAATACTACAAAATATCTTTAGGTTGAGTTAGCAAGATACAAAACAGGTCAGGTACGCCGCTTCTTCTTCTTATGGTGATGCTTGTGCCGCGGGCGCTCCGTATCCGACTCGTCCTCCAGACTAATCACCGACCGACTACCCGAAGACGAGCCGATCGATTTCATCCCACTCCTCTTAATAGCAATCTCTCTATATTTTCTAGCATTTACATGATCAGGTTTAACTCTCAAAGCCCCTTCAAAACACTCAACAGCTTCACTGTACTTCCCCTTAGTCGTCAAGGCAGCTCCCTTAGCCACTAAGGCATCAGGGTGGTCAGGCTTAAGACTCAACGCTGAATCATAGTATACCAACGCCTCGTCCAAGTTACCACCAGCACGGTGCTTGGCCAGGCCTTCTCTAAGGCGTCGAGATGCCCACTGCTCGCTCTGCCGTGCCGTGTCTTTACGAGTTGTAAAGACCCTAGCTGCAAATCGATCAACAGGATCGGGAGAATCTTCAGATTCGATATTGCACCGCACTGCATAGGAAGCTACATCATACCATTTACGATCAGCTTCAAGTCGCCCAGCCAGACCCCGAGACATGTCACCTGGCCACACCCGCTCTATCTCTTCAACAACACCAACACTGCCTTCCCATTCTGACCAACTCCGCAGACTCACATAACCTTCGATAGCGACGACACCCAAATTCTTCCGCGTGCGCCCACCACAAGATTCTCGCGGCAACCACAGGTTCGACTCCGCATGATCTCGCAACAAATTCTCAGGGATGAAACTCAAGACGCTCTTCTTACACCACATACATCGAGCCGCCATAATTTCGCTATTCTCCTCCAATTCGAAACACTCCAGCGGATAGCATTTCCCAAACCCCGGCAACTCGACCGACGGCCCCTCGCCCAACCACGCCTTCACAAATTCAGGCGCTCCCAAAATCTTCTCTGTGCGCAACTGCGCATATCTTTGCTCATACACGCACTGACAATAATCGTAATTCTTCGAAAAGTATCTTGCTGCCGCACAAGAAGATTCAGAACATGTCGGGATTTCAGTTCCTGCTAAAAGAGCCTCATTGGTCTCCCAAATGTCTCTCTCACACGACGCCGATTCAGAACGCTCAGGCACTCTCACAGCTAAGCTCCGTAACACACTAAGATCAAGCGAAGGTGGGGTAATGGCCATAAAACCAACCTACTTTGAATCTTACCAAGATCAACCTAAGATTCCCCCAACACAACATCGGATAGAAAACTGTCTACTTCTCCATGAAATCTGCATCGCTCCGCTGTACTAAAACCATATTCAGTCTCAACCACTCCAACCGATTGACGTAGTAGACATAAAACCGACCTACTTTGTATCTTACCAAGATCAACCTAAGATTCCCGCAACACAACACCATCACAACGCCGAAGAAAACTGTCTACTATTTCCATGTAATCTGCTTCGCTCCGCTATACTAAAACCATATCCCATATTCAGCCGCGCCAACTCCAACCGATCGACCTTCGAACACCGGCACAATGAAAGGCCAATAAATTCTCTCCAACGCCAAACCGAAGACCAGCCATTCAACGACCATTGCCAAGTTGCAGTTACCACCAGCGAACGAAAATTTACCTGACAATCTCGCTCGCCCCAAATCGATCAACTTTATTCCTAGTTCTAAGCCTAATAAAAACTATCTAACAATCTCGCTCGCCCCAAATCGATCAGCTTCATTATAGTGTGTTCGATTTTGATAATCAAAACAGAAAAACGTTCGAGATTCGATGAAGTTTCACCCGTTTTACGCGATATGAAAAACACCATATTCGCGGTGATATGCAGTAGTCGTGAAATACATTTTTCATATCACTAGGGTGAAACTCCAATGATCGGATGTTTATTGTCATATTTATTAACATATAGTCCGTACGGAATTTCGTGGCGCAGTGACAAATTCTTACTGTAGGAATAATCCCATGCAATGTTCTCGCCATAGAGTAGAATTATGAGGTACCCTTGGACAGCTTCAAGACACCAAATATTTATAGGCATCAAACACACCGCTAACACCGACGCCTGAAAAATGCACACTTCCGGACCTATTCCGTATCTTGTTCGCTCAACCTCAAGATACCCAACACTACCAAAACGAGCGGGTCATGGTCAAAATGAAACCTCAACAGATCCGATCGATCCAGCAAGAAGGCCGTGAGAGCAGGAATGGCCGCTCGCCGATAAACATCCATGACGATGGGATGGTACCAAATATTACACCAAAATTGAGCAAAAGTCGAATTAAAATGACCTGATATGGACCTATTCCGTATCTTGCATGCTCAACCTCAAGATACCTTCATGAAACGTAAGATACGCCGATTCAATAAAGGCGTAAATCACCGCTCCACAAACACTCCTAATCACAAAAAAATGACCGCTGCGCCACGAAATTATTCCCACCGAATTTTCTCAGTGTCATCAGTAAAACTCCACCACACCGCGAAGATTATCGGTATCATAAAAGATGCCAGCCGAGGCCTGTGGGTCGGCAGTGTCGGAAAATGACGCAAGTACATAGCAAAAAAACTACACAAAGCACATCACGCACAGCGAAGATTTTCCGTCATATAGGATACCCTCTATTACGCACAGCGAAGATTCTCCGTCATACAGGATACCCTCTATTACGCACAGCGAAGATTCTCCGTCATACAGGATACCCTCTATTACGCACAGCAAAGATGCTCCGTCATACAGGATACCCTCTATTACGCACAGCGAAGATTTTCCGCCATACAGGATACCCTCTTTTACGCACAGCGAAGATTTTTCGTCATAGAGGATACCCTCTATTACGCACAGCGAAGATTTTCCGCCATACAGGATACCCTCTTTTACGCACAGCGAAGATTTTCCGTCATAAGGATACCCTCTATTACGCACAGCGAAGATTTTCCGTCATAAGGATACCCTCTATTACGCACAGCGAAGATTTTCCGTCATACAGGATACCCTCTATTACGCACAGCGAAGATTTTCCGTCATACAGGATACCCTCTATTACGCACAGCGAAGATTTTGCGTCATAAGGATACCCTCTATTACGCACAGCGAAGATTTTCCGTCATACAGGATACCCTCTATTACGCACAGCAAACATCCTCCATCATACAGGATACCCTCTATTACGCACAGCGAAGATCCTCCATCATACAGGATACCCTCTATTACGCACAGCGAACATCCTCCATCATACAGGATACCCTCTATTACGCACAGCGAAGATCCTCCATCATACAGGATACCCTCTAATACGCACAGCGAAGATTCTCCTTCATACAGGATACCCTCTATTACGCACAGCGAAGATTTTCCGGAAGCTCATAGCAGTCCGAGATACGCTCTCCTACGCACAGCGGAGATTTTCCAATCCAACATACTACCAAGTTGGTAGAACCAACTATACACTGACAACTTGATGGACATGATTTGCATCTAACCATCTCAACCTCAAGATACTCAATATTTCCATGCAAATTCCCAAGACGCTCCTCAGGAGCTCTTCGTCCCATCTTCCAACTTGATCAGTTTTCGCGGCATGATGAACTGAAAACCTAAAAACACAACCAGAGACGCTTCCTCATTTCTATGGTAGAAATAAAACTATCTACAATTTCTTCAACACCGTCTGCTCCTCTCTTCTCCACTAGAGAGGAGTGCCGAATCCATCACTGCTCGCTGCTACGCTCTAAAACGGCATCTCGTCCTTCCTCGACCACCTCGAGTGGTTGCAGAGCGAAGAAAACTACAAACGCTATAGCGAGAGGTCCCCGGTTCGATCCTCGCAGCCTACAACTTCTAATTTCACAATTTCTCTAGTTCATATCATTCAATATCGACCTCAAATGCAAAGATACCAATCGTCCTCCAAATCAACTGAAACAGTTATGCTGCATCCAGGCTTGGCACTCATCAGTAACTTCAACTCCTATACACTGGAGTTCCACCCGTTTTACGCGATGTGAAAAACGCGATATTCGCGTTAGTCGTGAAATATATTTTTCATATCACTAGGATGAAACTCCTCCAAACTTGACGCGCCGAAGCCTGACGAAATATCACCAGAAAGAAACCCTCCCTTCCTCCCGAATCACATCAGATCAGTACCCCATCCTGAGCTCAGGCAAGGACGGGCTACGTCTCACCATCACCATGAGAACCACATAAGAGCAAACGTCACAGGTCGAGGCGGTTGCGACGGTGAATATACTGCTGCAACCTTTCCGATAGCGAGCTTGTCTCTTATGGCGCTGCCATA